CTTTAGGGTGAGAAAAGCGCACAGAGAAGAGAAAAGAAGAAAGGGAAGATGCAATTACACATCCATGTAGTCAAAAGGAATGGCTTTGTCTCCAATACGACGGCACAGTCGTGCAGCACGGTACACACTGAAAATATGAGGACACCCATAAAACTAAACGTTTCCACATAAAGGCACATGACAAAGAATAGAGTCCGACCTCGAATTGAAGGCCGGAGGAAGGGCGTCAAGATGCTGTGGACGTTACCTGAGTACCGTTGCACCGCACAGCATGTGCAGGCTAGTCAAAAGGACTCAAGAATCATCCCGGACTTAGGAACGGGCCTGACGGGTTTAGGAACGGGCCTGAGAGGCCCGTTCCTAAGTCCGGGATGATTCTTTCCCAAATCTCCCTATCACACCACTCTTAACTTCTACCTTATTCATTGGACAGTTCGATGTTAATCTTTGACATTAACTTTATCTCCTGACTGTAAGTAGCTAAGAGTCTCAACAAGTGCAGGTGAGCTACTGGTTATTATTCTGGTTGCACAACAATGAACAAGAAGAAGAAGGGGCAAGTGGAACTCTCTGAATGGTCACAGGAAGCGTCGTGAGCAGAGCAAAAACAAGAAAACGTACAATGCTTTTCACGTCCAATCCGGAGTAGTTTCTCAAGAAGCAACTCCACGACAGCATATGAAGCGGGAGTGGCAAGCTCATGGCAAGATGTGCAAACTTTCACCACCGCAACTGCACTGGCCATCGAATTCTTTATCAATGTAGATGGCATTACTTTCTTCGAAAGAAATGTTGGTTCTGTTTCGCACAATGTTAACCCGGCGATGACCGCGTAGTGGCGAACTCGCAACTCGATCCAAGTGCAACCTAGCTGCCACAGCGTTCAGCGTGTCGGCTCCCAGTACCAAAGCTGCAATAGCTGCTAAAAAAGCTGTGCTGTAGTTGTTCCTTACTTTTCGCGCCGTTCCCGCACTAATACTTTTTCTCAGAACTTGCCCTCTTCCCATAACGAAATATGGTCTAAGAGTGGCGGTGGCGGATGGCGGGTGGTGTAGGGGATTCGGGAAGAAGAAGAGGACGGACAACGAGCGTGGCAAAGAAGAAGACGAATGGAGTATCAGCGTTCGGGGGAGAAGCGGGGGATGGTGGGGTGGAAGGAAAAGGGCTTGGAGGGGGGAGGAAACCTGGCGGCGTTGGAGACCGGAGGGGGAGGTGGTCCGCATGACTTGAAGGAAGGGGCGAGTGAACGAAGGTATAGATAGACGCGAGAATGGTCAGTACCAAGATTCTCTGGTGTGAAACGTAGACGTCCTGCAAGGGCATTTCCGCTCTGTACACGTGTACAGTACTACCATTTACAGCGCTTTTCTTGAAAAATTCAATTTAAAGGCCTGGTAGATACGCACTGCTGGAAGTCAAGAGAAGAAAATTTTGTGATGGACTGCGAGTTAGGAACGGGTCTCACACTGTAAACATAGAGTGCTGCTACAGTACGCCCTTGTCTACTTTGACTGTCACACTGTAAACATAGAGTGCTGCTGCAGTACGCCCTGTCTATTTTGACTGTCGAGTATCTCTTCCTCACTTTCCCCGCCGGTATGTTTTGCAACCTCACTGTGTACAGGTAAGGCAGTTCCTGGGAACTGCCCGTATGGGACCATAACTTTACTCTCTCCATTTCCATAGTGACATACGCGTCTTGGCACGTGGGTGACAAGATGAAATCCGACGCTCCTGGCTGCTGTTCAAAAAATTGCCCATGTGATGGCCTGCAACCCGGGGTGATTGCCAATGATGGCAACATTATGGTATAAATATCCACAAATCTATCAAACCCTTTTCGCGAACACTGTTGCGTCCTCCAAATAGACTGTCATGTCTCCACAAAAGTGATTATCGTGGGCACCCCCTCCGAACCAGACCACGCATGTGAGCCCTCCACAACACTGTGTTACGGTCGCCAACACGGTATTGCGTCGTGCTTTCAATTGCGTCATTCTCCCAAACTTCACAATCACGCACAACACTTTCCGCTCTCTTGCCCCATCAGGGGAAGGTGAGCCACAATAAAAAAAGGAGTGGAAAGCGGCCTTCGGCCGCTTTCCACACCTTTTTTTATTTATTGGCCTTCGGCCGCTTCCCACCCCAACTTAACGCTCTCTTCGTCTGCTTTCTTTCCATCGCGTACGTCAAGGGTACACTTGCGCGATGCTTTCAGTGCTGTCTCAGTGCACTGTGTCTTTCCGCCTCTCATCCTCGTCCTTGTAGCCCGGCTGAACCGATTCTGTATCACGGATGTCTGCATCGCAGTGCAGATTTCACAGCAGTGCACATATCAGGCACTGCTGTGAATCTGCATTATCTTCCAACAGACATTACAATGATATCCCAGCGCATTGCCCACATTTGCTCCCGAGCCACATACGGCATACAGGTATGCTCTTGTGCTGAGAAATCAGAACCCGGCTTCATATCAGGCCATTATCAGAGCCTCAAGCCAGTACGAGATCTTGCAGCTGGTGGACGACAACTACAGTTTCCCTCATCAGACGGACATCAGAGGGCTGAGAGATTGTCTTCACAGTCTGATAAACTCAACTTGGGTATGCTAATGAATTGGGATCTGTCAGAAATCAATGCCCGCCTGAGCAATTATTGTGAAACAAAAACTCTACTCTGCCACAATCCATTCAGTCAGCCAACATGTACCGGCTTGACGTTGTCAAAACATGTGATCGCATATCAGGCCTGGCTGAGTACAAAGGGGCCAGAGAACATGAATTACTGTAGCGAGGCGTCTGAAGTGGGCGACGAAAGAGGGACAGCGAAAGGAGTATTTTATCAGCCAGTATGGCTCCACAGGGCCATGAAGTTATGAAGCAACAATGCCCCCTTGTGGTCTGTCCCTCAATGATACTATAGTACTTGCGTGCCCAATAACAAGTATCAAGTTGTTGTCATCGCGAAGGGGAGATCGGAGAGATCTGGGATGGGGCTGGCCGAGCTCCTTTGTTGATCAATATCGCTTTTAGTCTATTTTTGCTATATGGGGCGCGCCCGCTTGAGGATAGATTTTGCGAAAACGACCACAGGAATTTCTTAATTCCGATCAGTTAAGACTTGAGAAACCTATTTATCGGACTGCAAAGAGCTGTAGTTCAAGAAGAAACAGAGTTGAGGCCACGCCGATAACTCTACTGCGAGTGGGTCTGAAATACTGAATGACTAGTGTCTATTGGACCGTTGTCTTTGTATGAGGACACTTTTCTACCTATTTCATTGTTGACTTGCGCATCCTCGACAAGAAATAAATGGATACTCCCGCCATCGTACTTGACGTCCGACTTGGGAACAGAAAGAACTTTATGAGGATTGCATGTTCTTCCTGATCGTTGTTTTGACATGTCTGGAAAGGAAGCATTTTGAACCACGCATGTAAACTAACTTCGAAACCACAAACGCCAGTTTAAAAAGGGAACTATGTACTCAATCTGCATTACGGTCTTCATCTTTCTGCGTATTCAAAGCTGCTATCCCGGTGTTCTGCGACATGTCATTGCTAAAAACAGGCACATTGAGGAAATAGTGTCCAAGATTACATTGCAAATTGTTAATTTAATTTATAGTGTTTTAGTCTGAGTAAACCGACATTGTGAGGTATTTCTCACAAAAAAGGCGGGATTTTGAGGTTTTGCAAGTTGATTTGCTGTTGCTGATTTGATGCAAAACTTAAAAAAATCATTGCAGAGTATCATCTGCAATGATTTTTTTGTTGCACATTGACTCACATTTCTACCGATATTTCCCACACCCCACGTCAATTCGAGCAATCGCAATATTCGAGGCACTCTATGCAGTTACTATAGCGCATCACTCAACTTGTTAAAACTGTGGTGCTAGAAACCACGGCTCGGTTTACTGAGTGTTCGTGATCCAGTATCGCAGGGATGCTGGAAGGGAGCTCGCGGTAGACTAACAGCCTGCACTTCCACGCCGGTGGGGCAGATCAGCGTCAATTGCGAGCGGGAAGCCCTTCCGGTCTGGAAGGGCGCTGGAAGCTAAGCTTCCAGTTTGAAATCTTTACTGTCGGTTGTATCTGCGTTTTTCTGTAGTGTCTCTTGTTCCTCATCTCTAGTGGAGCTACAATTCTATTATTAAGTACGGGTCTGAGTGTAAAGTTTGTGCTCATGGTGAGGGGAGTCCTCCTTACAATATGCAGTAGTCACCTGTCCCGTTCTGATGCAATCCGGAGTTGCACGTCCTTCTTGGTTTCCTGCTACAATAGTGACTACCTCCTCTCCTACAGTATTACCTCATCTTTCTTGATTCCGCAGGTAACTACCTCTCTCTTACAGTATTACCTCATCTTTCTTGATTCCGCATAAATGATTCAGATATCTTAACAGTTCGGGTCGTGACTCTACTAAACAGTAAAACTAAGATGTGAAAGGCGGCAGCGGCCGAGGGTCGCCGAGCTGCCAGAACAGCTGCTACCTGTGTTACAGGTGTGCATGCTGTACAAGGGAATCATGACAAAAAGGAGCAGACTGCACGCACAAGGCTTCGCTGGGAGGAAACGCGCGACGTTTGCGTTATGCACGGTTTCACACTATTTGTAGTGGCATTACTGGTCAATAAATCAACAGAATTAACGTTCCATGCAGCTTCTTTATGGGCAGCCTGCTTCTGCTGGCAGAGGGCGCGCTGGCACCAGCGCACAGACTGCTGTGCTGTACTAATAGCGACTGATAAAACCACAATACAGCCGTGTGCGGCAAGCACAATATCAACGAAACGTGGAAATCTGACGGGTGTTAAGCCGTCTATCCGACGGCCTATCCCGCTGCTTACTCGTCAAGATAAAGGAAAATCTCCCCCAAAGCAATAGTTGGCAACGAGATGCTTCCGAGGGAACCACTCACATCCTCCTAAACAATCCCACTCATATGCCTAGACCATTTCCACGAAGCATCTAGCCCAAACACCGACCACACTGCCCCATGTCCATCTACAGTTCCACATCAACCACCTCAACTATGGAACACCATCACCTACAATTCCTATACCGTACAACTCCACTCATTTCCCGCCCAGCCCTGTTCCCCATGGCACCTTCTGTTCCGCAACCGCCTCACTTCCCGACCGCCCACCCTCAACTCGCAACCACTTCTACACCAAACCCTCCACGCCAAGCCCGGCCGCCTCCCTTCGCACCATGACCACCTCTGCGACACCGCTGCTTCTGCTGCCCATCCTGCTCCTCGTGCTGCACCTGCGCCCCGCCGCTGCGTCTGCCGAGCACCCCTCCTCGCGCCAGCTCCCGAGCCCTATCCAGATCGTCAAGCTCCAGCAGTGCCGCCTCCCCTGCACGGCCGACCGCTCCGTCCTCGCGTTCTGCCGCCGCTGCGGCTGCCGCGTGCTGCCGTGCAACAACGGGCGCAACCCCAAGTGGAAATGCCGCCCGCCCGTGCCCTACTTCTGCTCGCCCTACGCCCTCGTCGCCCCGGGAAACATTTACGCCGGCTGCAGGAACTGCCTGAGCCCACTCGTCCTCCCCTTCCCTTACGCGTGGCCAACACAGCCCGACTGCCTCGTGCATTGCATACGCGAGGGGCTTCAGACGGCGTGTATGACGAAAACGCCTTCGAAGGACAGTTTGTCGGATGTGTACTCACGTTGCTGCCGAAAGTGTCGCGGTGTAGTTGTCAAAGATGTTTGTGTCTGCGATGGTGTCCCGGGCGGAGATGGTCAATGCCTCCTACCATCCTCGGAAGCGGATGAGTAGATTCATGGTCCTGAGAGCGAAGAGTCCCCACCCTTGAGAAATTTGTTGGAGGGGGAGAGGAGGCACGCTGGAAGTGATTGACCCAAAACAGCAGCTTCTGGAGGATTCTTTCGGGGCCAAGTTGTGTCTTTGTAAATTATAAACATCTATGTTGACACACCGGCTCACCTTTTTATTCTCATGCGATCACAGAGCGGCCGCCACTTCAGGAGATTCGCGCAACGACTCCAGCGTCCTTGGTACAGTGACGCAAATTTTAGCGAGATAAGATGAAAGCAAACAAGTTCCGCCGTGCGTACCTCGGTTCTCTCCATTGTTTAGGGGCATAGACAAAAAAAGTCCAGTAGAAGAATATTTCGAGGTGGGTTGTGGTTTACGTCAAAAAGGAGACAAGATCCCCATTCACTAGCTTGTGTTGATTCTTCTCCCACCATCTAGTTTGTTGCTTCCACTTGACCCGGGACACACACTTGGTTGCTATGTCAGCGGCATTTCCTTGATGAATCACGGCAAAGATTTTTTTTGAATCTATTGCCATCATGCGCTCCATCTACTTCGCGCCCTCGGCCCTACTGGTACGATACGCATGAAATTGTGGATGTTCCCGGATGCGTACCTCTTGTCTGAGAGTCAGAGTAGAAAAAGTTTCGTCCGGTTTGATTTTACTTCAGAAGTAAAAACAAGCGGACAAAACGTTTCATTTTTTGCAACGCTTTTCGGAAACAACGTGTCGATTTTTGTCACTTACGGGGTATCCAATGCGAAAGAAGAGAAAAGTTTCTGCCGGTAATCGCCACGTCCAGTGTGCGGGCGTTGCTTTCTCCAGGTATTATGCGAGGTAGGCGAGGCAATACGTATCATCTAAGATTCTTGGAACTTGAGCAACACGGCGGCACCACCCTCAATATCCAATGCTTCCAAATATTGAACCTGTCCACTGAGCGTTTGGAAAGGGGCGATCTGTTTTAGGGCAGTTTTATGAAGCTCATTTGATTAATTCCCCGCAGAACCACATGTCTGCATTCTTGACCCCGGAACAAAGTAAGTTTCGGCGATGAAGACAAGCTTTGGGGAGACACGGAGAGTATCTGCCCAAGCGAAGGCTTTTGTTTCGTTATCATTGGATATGCCGCCAGATTATCCGCGCCTCTGTGCATGGACACAACAATGCAGGCACCACATTCCGTAGTCGGGCCAGCTTGATTCTCTAATTTCGACAACACAGAATGTGGAGTCTAGAATTCAAACACCTGTGCAGCTGGCAAAAAAGCGCAGACAGCTCTGAGGTCTGAAGTCTGTCCATGAATGACCATCGTGTAACCGGAGTTGTGCAATCTGAGAGCCCAATATCGGACTGAAATTTCTGAGGCCTCTCATCTGTGTGTCGCCACTATTCTAGTGGGCACCCCCTGTCCTGAATGAAGAATAGGTACCAGCCGCACGCGGGCAACCTCGTCTATAAATATGAGCAACACTTCTCTCGCTTAGATTTTCTTCTCGACTGCTGCAGCAAAGCTGCATCCCGCCGAAACACCGAAGATCTCCGTAACACTGAAACAAACTTCACAATGGCACGCCTTTTCACCGTTGCGCTCTTCATGGCCATGCTTACGCACGTTGCGCTATCATGCTCTTGCTTCGAGCAGACGTTTGAGGAGCGCTTTTGCGGTAGCACTCTCTCTATTCGAGCAAAAGTTCTTGCAAAATTTGATAACTGCCCTGGGACATGCGATTCCTTAGAGGACCAAATCGATGGAAAGATCTTCTTCATTGTCAAGGTGCTTGAAACGTTCAAGGGCCCAAGTGTTGAGGACAATGTACTCTTCTTGGATACAGCGGTCAATGGTGGCCTTTGCGGTGTCAACCTCTCTATTGGTAGCGAGTATCTGTTGAACCTCATCGGCGAAGAGATGTCTAACGATGGAACGTGCCCGAAGAAATCCAGACCCATCGGACTTTGCGACTTCCCAACGTTATGGAGTAATGTCTCTCAAGAAGAGAAAGATTTCCTCGATACACCGACATGCTGATAATTCTGTAGAGATACAAATCCTGACTACATGATGCCGTTGTGCCACAGTTAGATATAGACTGTCGTCTTCAGTAGTTATTAGAGAACTACGTCACTCACAAAGCGCTTACGGGATTTGCTATAATAAATAGGCATCAAGTTCATCTGTACGTTCGTCGCTCCTAATTGATGGCAACGGGCAGATACATATCCGCCCCACACGCTTCTGACGAGCTTTCATTGATCACGTTTACTTGAAGCAAAGTTTCTGTGAAAGTGGAATGGATATACCAGCTGAAGCAAATAGTGGTATTGGCTCTTGCTAGCACATAATCGTAAACCAAATACGATACCCAGCAACATTCATTTCTGTATTTTTTCCACAGTGTACTTGTGAACGAACCTTTCGTTCTCGTGACGGATGTTACCCTGTAGTCGTCACCTTCTCGTATTGCGCGTCGTATATTTTTAGCTCATGACAGAAAAAAGTACATCATTACGGCCATTTGAGTCAATGGTTTTTAAAAAAAGGGGAAATGGATCTCTGCTTCAGGAAGTTTGCAATGAAAATTTTTGAGCAGAAAGCTTGGAACCATATCGTTTGTTTATTCACATTGCACCACTGAAACAAGAACGGATACATCATCCATTTTCCCACCCTCGTAGTCCATCCCAGCGGCTTTTGCAGCTGCGGAAAAAGGCGACAAACCTGTCTTGGTGCTGGCAGCTAGCTTGGCATGAGTTGCTAGTTCGTTTGCCGCATTTTTCGTCCTAGTCTCCATCGCCTTCCTAGCAGAAGTTTGCAGCGCAATTCTAACAATTCTAGCAGCTTGTTCCGGATACACGTTATCCCAAAGTCCATCACTTCCCGCAATGATGAGATCGCCACATCGCACTTCTATTTGAAAGTACGTTCCCTCGTCGATAGTTTCTGGTTTCTTCTGACTTAACTGATAGGGGAAGTTGAAACTAACTTGTTGCGGCTCTGTTTTGAAAATTATGATTCCGTTCCGAATCACAATCAAACCTGAATCCCCCAGGTTAACACCGACTAACATTCTCTCGGAAAGTCCTGCGATGCAGACAGTGGATGCTCCAGGTACTTGGACGGAATACGCCCCATACGCCAAAGCTTCCCTCACAGTCTCAGCGCCATTTTGGACAACATATCTTGCGACTTGCGTTGCCAACTTTTTAGCGTAGATACCGGAATCAATACCCCTTCTCATAGTACCGCCGATACCGTCAAACACTCCGAAAGAGTTTTGTATGATGAATAAGGCATCCTCTCCACCTCTGTCAACCTTTTTAGGATGTGGGCTGATTTGACCGCCTGTATAAAGCTTGAGAGGGCTCTGCTTAGAAATGAATTTTGAAGCACATAGAGTTGGCGTGCTGTAGAAGGCGTAGAGTTTTCGCAGTTGGTGGCAAGATTGATGGCTCGGTGTGGAAAGTTTAAGATCTCCAGGAAGAATAACGGCATAATGCATCTCTGAATCTCCTTCTTCAACAATAGACTGTTGGCGGTATGTCTGCGATGTGAAAACTGATACAGAGCGGTTGAAAATCTGTGATAAGCTGCGCACACAACTCTCCAATTCATCTCGGGGACTTGCGTTTCCGCCGCTGAGTTGACTATTGGCCAGTTTCTCGATTGCAGTTTGAAACAAAGTAATGAAGAAAGCCTTTTTTGAAGAGCACCAAGAGATTTCGAAAGGCAAGCGAGGGATTGCGACGTCAAATTTCATCTCTTTTCGCGCAGATTGAAACTTCAACATCTCTAAAGCAAGGAGTCGCAAGGAAAATTCTATATCGACTACCGCATCTTCTTCACTCCCTTCATTCTTGAATGCTCTAACAACACATTCGTTTCCCGGGGCTCTCATTTCCGACATAAAAACCCATGATCCTTTCCGAAATGGCATGTTGGAGAAGCTAGGAGTTTGTAAGAATAATCTGTTTGCTTTCGTTAGGTGCCTTTGTCCTGGGGAGTGTGAAGTAAGGTCCAATGCGGAGGGATATCCTTGTTAAGTATACATGCTTAAGATTAGAGAACTTCTCCTCGGCCGCGTTGTCTATTCGTTGAGCAAAAATGGAAAACGACCACTGCGAGTGATTCCGTTCCACGTTTGAAAAAGACAATAGCGCCCCATTTTCAGCCACATTCTTCATGGTGCAGTCGTTAAACATGTCCCTTTATTCACCCGACACGTCTGTTGCAGCTCTCTTCTGCCAGGCCATCGCGCTACCCTCAGCCACGTGAAAATTGCGATTCATAGTCTGCAGTCTCCGCAAGTACAATTTGAGCAAAATTCAAATACACGCCTCGAGTGTCTATAAAGGACCATTGTTCTCTGGAGACTTTTCGACATCCTTTTTTTTAAGGACGATTAACCAGATGCCGTTTTGCAAATTTTTGTTTTGGACGATTAACCAGATGCCCGTCGGACTGAATGAGGTTAACCGAAGTGGCCGTCACGGAAATACATACGAGTAATCGTAATGGTTGTCATAGCTGGGATGTTAGTCCATACCCCCGTCAGAGGCTGCAATTTTTTTTTTAATTTGCGCTTTCTCGACGAGAAAAACAGGGAGCCCCACCACCGTACTTGAGGGAGGGAGGAAGGACGGGAGGCGTCCATAAAATGGCGGGGAGCGGCGTTCTAATGGTAGAAGGTCGGTTGGCTGCTCCATGTTTGGGTTGGGTGGAGATCGAGGTGTAGCGGGGGATTAGGGGTGTGATGTGGTGTGAGCGTCTGTGTGAGACGAGGGGTTGATTGGCGGGGGTGTGCCGTAGGAAGTGGTGCACGGTGGGTTGGGCTCCTGACGCTGGTGTGCGGAGGCGGGGTGGGAAGGTCTGGGTTGATAGGGTCTGTGATATGGCTCTCTACGCGGTGGGGCGGGGGCGAGGTAGGGACCGGGAAAGATGTGTATCGTACGTGCTCTATATCTTACTTCAAGTTGCTGTGCAGGCTCCTGTGCATAACTCCAATTGCACATTTTCATACGCACCACTTCTGTAGTGTACCTTCCGTCCTGAAGAGCAATTGAGTCAAAAGTTGTTTTTGTGTCGCTAGTTGCTATGCACATGGCATTGCAAGAACTCAGGGTCTTTATTTCAATAATGAGAGGACGACCTTGCCTTTTCTACTATCTTCGTCCCAGCCAGCTACTGACTAGTTTTTCCATTTGAAGGCTGTAGCAAGGTCCACGTAATCAGGTATTCTATATGCAGAGGTTGTCATTCTAGTGACAATCCACTGAATAAGATAAGATCGAATCACTGAAAGAGGCATGCATGTGAATACTATTAATCTTCTCCAATATGGCTGTGCTGACATTCCGTTGGGATGGCAAGGATATGCTTTTGCCTTGCTTGAAGAGACTTCCCTTACTGCAGTGCGTGCAGTTGTTTAAAACTGCGAACCACACAATTCTAACTCTACCAAAAAAATGCGGAGAGTTCTTGGAACGAAGGAGAGTGCTGCAACAGATCGAAGATAGAGCACATCAATGTGTAAAAGAATCGAAGAGAAATGGTGGAACGGCCCCGTTCTTCATCAAAAACTTCACCCGCCTCCACAAGCTCACGTTGCCGACCAACTGAAAACACGACAACTGCCAGTGATTGAGTTCTGCCTTAGCAGCATATTGATGCTTATGCGTGAGCACAAGAGGTAGAAAAGATGTGTCCGAAGAGAGAAATTGCGTTGGTACTCCATCTTGACTTGAGCAACTAACCCGGCGACCTTTTCAGGGCAGTTAACGAGTACGGGGGTTTTCAAATCATGTCCATCTTCGCCTGCCCACCAATCATAGCAACAGGGCAGGCACTGGCGTTCTGTTAAGACCGGTTCACTTCAGTATACAACGCAATGGAGCAGTCGTGTTCGAAGGTGCACGCACGTGGAAGAGGGTGTTAGCCATACTGCAGCTAAAACTCTCACCAGCACGAAAACTCTGCTCAAAGTTCTTCACTCCAGACGCTCTTCCACATCGCGCCTTTGGTGATTCTTACATGCATCTAACCGATGTCTTCTATATCTTCTTGGTCACCCTGAGCAAGCTATACCGTACTCACAACTGTACACACCATTCCTTACAACTGTACATACCAATTCCGTTACCCTTCCCGGTCCAACCGCCGGTATCCCGCCGCTTCCCACCACTTCCTCCATAAGTTAACCCGCTCTCCGCTCTCCCCTCGTCCTACCCCAATCTCAACCGCTCCACCCCGCCAGCATTCGCGCACACGCCGCGCCCACCCTCGTCAAGAAACTGCGTGAGGATACGCCCCGCGCCGGGGTAACCCTCCTTCGCCGCCTGGCGGTACAGCTCGACAGCCTCAACTGCATCCTTATCCACGCCCTCCTCGCCAAACGCGACAAGATTCGCCAGCTCGACCATCGCCTCCGCGCTGCCGGTATCCTGTATGACCTGCAGTAGCAACCCACTCGCACGCCGCGCATCCAACTCCACGCCCCCCGACCCCTTCGCCAGCAGTCTGCTCACAGCGAGCATCGCGTCATATTTGGCACGAGTCTCCACCCCCTCTAGCACCTCCAGCGCCATCGTGACCGTGAACCCGAACTCGCCCGTGCCGTGCGCCACCAGCTCCAGCAGGATCTGTACGGCGCCCCTCGTCCCGTTCTGCAGGCCACGCCGCAGGCACCCCATCGCTTGCTCCACGTCACGCTCCACGCCCTCCGCCCCCTGGAACAGCAGCCCGGCCACGTTGTAAAGGGCCACTATCACGCGCCCGTCCACCACCTTGTCCTGCTGTTCCGAGGTACGCCCGGCCTCACCCGTCCGGTCGCCCACCAGCGGCGTCTCCGCCCCGCTGCCCGCGCTGCCCTCGTCCACCGCCCGCCGATACAGCGCCAGCGCGCGGGGCGCGTCGCGAGGCACGCCGGTCGCGCCGACGCGCAACAGCCGCGCAAGGTTGTTCAGCGAGTACAAGTCGCCGGCGTCAACCGCGCGCTCGTACAGCTCCTTCGCGCGCGGCGCGTCGCATGGGAGACTCTCATCCCCGTCCTCCAGCAGGCGCGCAAGTCCGCTCAGCGCGTCGACATCCCCGCAGTCGATGGCTTGCTCGTACAGCGCGGCAGCTCGCACCGAGTCGCGCTCTACCCCCTGCGCGCCGCGCCCGAGCAGCGCGGCCAGGTTG